CAGCTACCACTAAGTTACCATTTAGTCTTATATTCTGTTGCAGTCCCTGCTTGAACAATAGCTAGCTTTAAGGAATGTACTTGCAGAAATTAATTTTAAGAACTACATATTCTCATGGTGATGATCTTAGACCCATCATGGTTGTCCAGTTTTGCAGATTTTTTAACTTCTTGACATCAGGAGGGCCTTCCTCTTGACTGAGTCTGCTGATAATGAAGCATATAGTAGCTGTACACAAGTGTGTTCCTGGTCAAATTTCCACAAAAGCTTATGTGCTGTGCAAACAGGAGAAATTCCTACCTCCTGGTTCAACAGAGTACCGAGACCATTTCTTTCATGGTCCTGCCTTGGGTAGGTTTTGCCATGGTGCTGAAAGTATGTGACACTGTGAAATCAATGTGCCTGTGCCCAACATTCCAGCTGCAGCATGTGTAGAAGAGTGCTGAGGATTGCTCTGAGGCTGTCACTGCAGCTGATACATGACATAGGTCTCAATTTATTATGAGCTCAATTTTTGCCACTCACTTTTAAAAATCTTAGAGCAGGGCTGTTTCTTTGGGCGTTTGAGATGAAAGTAGAGGATAGAGCGCTGAGTGTTACATCATTGGGTTTTTTGGTTAGTTGATTTTTCCATAAACCCCAGTTGAACTCTCTTAGTTGTGCTTTGTTATCCGTGTTTTCCTTACCAGAAATCTTGGTTGATAACATCCTTAATGTGTGAGCTGCTCACATGTCTTGGGTTGTAACTTGCACACCATGAACAGTACCAAAAAATCTGTAACAAGTTAAATGAAAATTCACCCTTTGACTTCAGCAGAAATGGAACTTGCCCTTAAACCCACATCAGCAATAGCTCAGTTGTAGTGCTTATTATCCAGGAGTTTAAATGAGAGGATATATCAACTGTAGCTGTGTACTTTCTGATTATCGAGCTGCTAGTGAGAAAATAATTTCTGAAGGCTTCTGGTAGGTGAACTGGGGGTACCCGTTATCTTTTTCACTTCACGAACAAAGACCAAGACCCCGTACAGCCTTGGTGTACCACAATTAGGGAGCAGTTTCCAGACTCATGACTGCATTTCTTAGGTAAAACAGGGTGCTGACAAACTGCCTTATGGCTCAGGAAATCTGACTGAAATGTTGCTTCCAAGAGCATAAGCAGTTGCTAGGACATGTTCTCTGATCACTGTAACTTTTGTGTTTTGAGGTATTAAGTAGTCAGTGGAACATATGTGGCCAACATTTATTTATACTTTTGTCCTTTGTAATTGAGAACTCCATTGTAAGTAAAAGAATGCACAGCCCTTCTCAGGCTGGTCCTGTTGAGCTGCGTCACAGGCATAGGCAGCGATTGCAGAAGCCACGCTGAACACTGAGGTCTGTTGAAGCCAAAAGAAAATTTATAGGCAGGCAAACTGACAGTGGTGCGTGGTGTGGAACTGCCTGGATTATTTCACAGATGCACCTGTGAAAATTTTTGATGATAGAGATTTTTCACTAGTGGTGCTGCCAGGAATTGCACGTAGGAGGGATACCAGCAAAGACCTCAGAGGCCGACTTTGCTATTTGTCCTCCAGTGCTGGCACTTTTGATCAGCAATTTTAAGTTTGTGAGTGGGACAAGAAAGGATTTGGGGTGCATGTAAAGACAATCTCAAAAGGAGAGGGTAAGTGTAGAGGAGAAAATTGGAGAGCCAGCATCCTAGAGGCTATGGGTTAGGGTTAGACCAAATGTGCTTGACAGTATGAGCAGGAGAATTGTGCATGCAGCTCTTCGGCTCTTGTACTGTCATTTCACTCGTGGTCTGGCAGGCCATTTAGGTCTTGATTTGAAGACAGCTGTTTTGGATCATTGTAAGATATGTGCCAGGAGAGAACAGCCCTTGCGAAACCGGTACTCTACCAAGAGCCCACGTTGAGCGGAGGGGCAATGCTCCGTTCTGGAGCGATCCACGGCGCTCCAGGCGGAATGGGGACAGGCCTGGGACACCAGAAAGTGCCTTGCAGGAGCCGGGGGGTCAGCCCGAGAGAGCAAGGGCTGCAGGATCTCTGCCGCAGTCCAGCTGTGGGCCCGAGAGTCTGGTCAGGACCTCTCCAAAGCGCAGGGCAAGGCGAGCAGCAGGAACGCTTGTCTGCGTGGCCCGGGCCGGGTTCCGCATTTTCCTCTCCGCGAAGCGTCGCGGGGCTGCGGCATCCACCGCACCGGCGGCT